TATAGCAGAGAGAAATAATGGGGAGAAAGACCCCATTTCACAGTTCAGAAAAAACCCTGACACAAGGAAGTCACTGCTGACACCGTGTCAGAACAAACAATCCCAGAGACTCTAAGGCGTGACCCACGCTGTGGTGGAGAGGAGCCAAGCAGGTGAGAGCTAACAAAGGCCTGGGATGCAGACAGGTGGAGAGTTCAGGAGGATGGGCAAGGAGCCAGGGAAGCCAGGGCTGGACCAAGCGGCCCATATGGCTCACAGCAGGGGGTTCACACAGACCCAGAGAATTCTGATGGGAAGGGGGCCTTTGGGACCAGCCAGCCCAATCTGTAATTGACAGAGGCCAAGAGCTGCTCAGCAACTCGTCCAAGGTCACAGAACTAGTGAGTGGAAGAACTGGAGCTAGCACCCAAACCTCCTGCCTTAAAGGACAAGGCAATTAATGTTCACCACATGTTGGCACTTGTATCTATTCCTTGCTTCTGAAGGATCTAGACAGTGTTTCCCAAAGCAGGCGACAGCCACCCTCCACTCCCCGACAGGCCGATGGAACAACCCAGAGAGGCTGCAAAGGCAGAAAACCTATGCTTTATCCTGGATTATGGGATATATAGTACAAAAGTTTTTACATTGCTAGGGGGCACTGAAGGAGCCCAGGTGGCGTAGTGGTTCCGAGTTAGGCTGCTAATCACAAGGTCAGCAGTTGGAAACCATCAGCCTCTCCTTGAGAGAAAGGCCAGGCTTTCTACTCCTGTAAAGAGTTACGGTCCACTCCCCGCCCCCGCCCCCCAATTCTACATTACAAATCCAGCTAGATCAGAGCATGTACACTGGTACAGACAAGAGCTAGCAATACAGGGAATCCAGGACAGATAAACCCCTCAGGACCAATAATGGGAGTAGAGATATCAGAAGGGAGGGGAAGGTGGGGGGAGAAATGAGGAACCGATCACAATGTTCTACATATAACAACCCCCTCCAGGGGGTCAGACAATAGAAAAGTGGGTGAAGAGAGACATCAGACAGTGTAAGACAAGAAAATAATAATAATTTATAAATTATCAAGAGAACATGAGAGGGGTAGTGGTGAGCTGATACCAAGGGCTCAAGTAGAAAGAAAATGTTTTGAAACATATGTACAAATGTGCTTGACACAATGGATGGATGTATGGATTGTGATAAGAGCCGTAAGAGCCCCCAATACAATGATTTTTTTTTTAAAAATCAATGAAACTGTTTCAACTAAGTAAAAAATAAAAAGAGTTAGTCGTGGAAACCCACAGGGGCAGTTCAACTCTGTCCTACGGGCTGCTTTGCACCAGAATCCACTCGGTGGCAGAGACTGAGAAATGTTTTCTTCTGAAAAGGAGGTGGTAGGCCAAATTAGTTTGGGGACATACGATCCGGACCACCACTGTGAAGCAGAATAGCCCATTGTGTCCATCAGCCCAGACTCTGAAGCCTGTCCAACCCGGTTTGAAGGGAAGCGGCGATGCTCTTGAGCAGGTTACCTGCTTCTCTGTGCCGTTTCCTCGGGTGCTGTGTTAAGTGCCATCGACCCAGAGCAGCCCTGTGGACAAGAGGTAAACTGCCCGGTCCTGCGCCATCCTCACAACTGTGCCTACCTGAGTCCACGGCTGCAGCCACTGGGTCGTCCATCTCATTGAGGGACTTATTTCCCACTAACCCCCTACTCCAGTGGTTCTCAGCCTTCCTAATGTGGTGGTGACCCAATCATAAAATTATTTTTGTTGCCCCTTCATCACTGTCATTTTGCTACTGTTATGAATCGTGCGACCCACGGGTTGAGAACCGCTGTTCTACTTGCTCAAACATGATGTCCTTCTCCAGAGACTGGCTCCTCTGATAACATATTTAATATGCATGACACACAGCCTCAACATCCCTGTGCTGAGGAGCATTCTGGCTGTCCTTCTCCCAAGGCGGATTTGTCGATTCTTCTGGCAGCCCATGATGTTTCACACTCTTTGCCAACACCATCCCTGAAGGGCAGCGCCTCCGCTTCGGTCCTCCTCATTGATCACGCGGCTCTCTTTCCCATCCATGAGGCAATTTAAAATACCTTGGCTTGGGTCACATGCACCTTTGTCTTTGAAAAGATAACTTTGCTTAAAAAACCCCAAACACTTAAAAGAGGTCTTTTGTTGCAGATATGCCACATGTGGTATGGCCCTTGATTGCTTGACCGCTGCTTCCCTGGGTCTTGATAGTTCAAGGAAAATGAAATCCTTGACCCTTCAGTGCTTTCTCTATTTATCAAGATGCTGCCATTGGTCCAGTTGTGAGGGTTTTCGTTTCTTTACATTAAAGTGCACTCCGCCCTGAAGACCGCAGTCTTCGATCTTCCTCTGTGAATGCTTCAAGTGCTCTTTGCTTTCCACAAGCACGGCTGTGTCATTTGCTTATTACAGGTTGTTTCCTGAGTTAGCGGGGTGCTGGGGGTGGGGGTGGGGATGCTAGGCCTACTTCAGGGTGTTTAGAGACTTACTAATTGAGCCAATATCTGGAACACGCAATGTCTGGCCCAAAATAAGCCCAGAAGGTTGTTGTTATGAAGTACGATTTGGGTTGATTTCAACTCATAGCAGCCTCATGTCATACAATAGACCTTCCCCATAGTATTTTCTAGGCTAGTGGTTATCAATCTGTGTCGAACGATCCTTTCACAGGGGTTGCCTGATTCATAACAGTAGCCAAGTTACAGTTATGAAGTAGCAACGAAAACAGTTTTATGGCTGGGGGTCACCCCAACACGAGGAACTGTATTAAAGGGTTGTGGCATTAGGAAGGTTGAGAACCACTGTTCTAGGCTGTTCATCTTTCTCTAGCAGAGCCACTTGCTAGGTGAGTGCAAACAGCCAACCAACCAGCATCCACCAAAAAACAAAAACAGAACACCTGTTGCCGTCAAGGTGATTACAACTCATAGTGATCCCTTAGAACAGAGAAGGACTGTCCTATATCATTTCCAAGGCCATAAATCTTTATGGCAGCAGGCTGTCACATTGTTCTCCTGCACAGTAGCTGATAGCTTTGAACTGAAGACCTTATCATTGCAGCTGAGTGCTTAATCGTTGTACTCCCAGGCTCCCCCACTTTGCATGGGATAGGATGAATTAAACCAAACCCACTGGCATCAGCTCAATTTCAACTCACAGCAATCCTAAAGGTCAGTAGAAATGCTCTGTGACTATCAATCCTTATGGGAGCAGGCAGTCTCATCTTTCTCCAGCAAAGAGGCTGGTGGGTTTGAACCACCGACCTGTGGTTAGCAGCCCTACTCTTGACTCACTGTACTACCAAGGCTCATTATGGATTGAATTATGTCCCTCCCAAATGTGTGTAAATCTAACCTCGAGGCCTGGGGTTATCATCCCATTTGGGGGTGGGCTGCTTTTGTGCTGTTACTAAAGCAGGATTAGAGTAGGGTGTATCAAAGTCAATCTCCTTTGAGATAAAAACTGAGATTAAACAAGAAAGAGGCAGGGGAGCAGGGGGAATAGATGGCAAGACGAACAAGAGATCTCCAGGGTACTAGGAAGCAGACGCTGAAGAGACAATAACCTTCCCAAGCCCACAGAAAGGCTTCCCCCAGAGCCGGTGCTCTGACATCATACATCTAGCCTCTTAAACTGGGAGAAAATGCACGCCAATTTGCTAAAGCCACTCCTTACAGTGTTTCTATTATAACAGCGCTAGGTGGCTAAGATACTGCATAAGATTTCCTTAAAACCCAACAAAAGTTTAGCTGAACCAGTAAAGAATGTCCACCTTGAACATGACTCTCGTATAGCATCTATCTGTGTATGGGATGACATTGACAATAACCACTCCAGAGATTAGAGAGAGGCAATTCAGGGTGCAGAGAGTGCATGTTACTAAGGGAGGAATCATTCAGAAAAGGGGGCTGAGAATGACGGGGCAATTCCGAGAATATAATCAACGTCACGGAGTGATAGAAATGTTAACCAACGCCGACTCCGTGTCTATGGTGCTGTGCAGTCTCGACAGCCACACCGAGGATAAAACATTCCTTCAAGGGCTGCCAACGACTCATGGAAAGCTGACGAACTCTTCCACAGACTGCTGAAGCCCCTCGTAGAAGAGGTCATTATCAACAGGGAGCCCTGGCGGTGCTGTTGGGAATGTGATGGCCTGCTAATTACAAGGTCAGGGGTTCAAACCCAGCTCCTCCATACGATAAAGATGAAGCTACAGGCTTAGAAACACTGGAGAGGAGCCCTAGGCGTTGGCATGGACTCCGTAGTGGTGGGTTTGCGTTTTTGTGCTGCCAACTAGGAAGGAAATCATCTGGCGTTGGTTCCTTCCCAGCCTAGCTCCTACCCCCACACGCCCAATTCATCTGCGCCACACCACCGACTCTTAATCCACCCAAGCCCAATCCAATGAGCTAGGAAAGAGTTAAGCTGGCCAATGGCCTAACAAACACACAGACTGGACAGGCTTTTATTCTGCTCTGACCTACCACCCCCCAGGATTTGACTACCAAGACCCCGAATGCAGATGCCATCTCTGTTGACCCTCACCTGCCGCACCTTTCTTGGCCTGTCTACGTGGGCACCCTTGGATCACGACTCTCCTGTCCCACCTGGACTCCTCAGCCAACCTTCTCTGTGATGTCCTCACCTGCACCTTAGATTCTTGGCCCTCCTTCCTGCTCCCAGGCTGCCAAGTGTGGTGAGGTTGTCACATGGCCAGTCACCTGGGTTTACACAGACCTGTGCTCTCCCTGGTCCTTCACTTCCAGACGAAGCCCCTGGAGCCCTGGCCGAGCCCCGCCACCTCCATTCTGTGTAAGCTCAGCCACAGAAGAACACCGTTCAGGAAAGAACTTGGGGATCTTATTAAACGCAGGCTTTGGCTCAGTAGGTTGACTTGGGCCCCGACACTCTCCCAGGCACTGATCATGCTTCGGGTCCTCAGACCAAACTTTAAGAAGTTCTAGGGATTTACATACACGATTTTCAATGTCTGTGCTTCCCTAGATAGACTGTGTTTGAGGTTCAGAGAAATTTAAATCCTGCCTGAGGTGTCCTTTGCTGGGAAGTAGTATTCAAACAGTTGACGGAAAAGCTTGGACAAGCCCTCCTGTTTGGGGTTTGTTTCCCCCTCTCTACACAGTGATTTTCAGCCAGGGGGTGGGTATAGGAAGGATATGAGAGCACAAAACCAAACCCATCAATTCCAACTTATGGCAATCCTGCAGGACAGACCAGAACTGCTCCGGAGGGTTTGCAAAGCTGTCAATCTTTAGGGAAGCAGACTGCCACACCTTTCTCCCACAGAGTGGCTGGGGGTTCAAATCCACAGTCTTTCAGCCAAGAGCTGACCCGCTTTACCACCAGGGCCTGGGGAGAGCACAGATCCGTAATCTTCCATAGGCAACACCAAGTTGAGATCTCCTTAGCTAAAGGGCACACCAAGGATATAGGTTCTAAGAAAGCCACACATTCTCTGTGCTGGGGATTTTACCCACCAGCTTTCTCCTCCTCCTTGAGTCAATTCCAACTCACAGTGACCCTACAGAGCAGGACAGAACTGCCCCTGTGGGTTTCTAAGACTCTGGGTCTTTACAGGAGGAGAAAGCCTCGTCTTTCTCCTGCAGAGCAGCTGATGGTTTCGACCTGCTCACCTTGTAGTTAGTCCTCAAAAGACTAACCACTCCCCCACTGGGTGGAGGTCAACTCCACCCATCACCATGAAGAAGTTATCCAGAGGGCCAGAGGAAACTAAATGGGTGCAGAGGGTGAATGGAAGCTATAGGCAGCCATGCTGAGGGCAGTCGGCTGAGAAATCCCCAGAGATTGACTCACTCCTCAGCTCTCTTCCCCAGCCCCTCTCCCTGTCCAACCCTGCCCCAACCCCGCCCCAACGTCTAGCTGACCACTCTTATTCCTCAAAGTCAGGACTTCTATTTAAGACCTCCACCTCCCCTGCCCCACCCTCTCTGTGTCCACGAGCTATCCTGGCTCCCCCTGGCCCTCAGCACCCTGGCCCTCCCTGATGGCCTCGGAGCTTGCTGAAGTCTCCGGGATCCTGGGGGTTGGGCTGGTCTGGCCTGGAGCTAGTATCTCAAGGTGGTCTCCACCCCCAGATCCCCCTGGAGGAGCTGGCTCTACACTCCATCTCAGATCTCCTTCCCCAGGCCTGCTCCTGTACTTCTCTGCTGCAGCCTCGCTGCACTGGTAGCCAGCCGCCAGTCTCCAAATCCTAGAAGCCCTGGTGGCACTGTGGGTGAGGCGTGGCACTAGTAACTGCTAGGTCGGTGGTCCCAAACCCCCAGTAGCTCCCTGGGAGGCAGATGAGGCTGTCTGTTCCCATGAAGAGTCAGACCTGGAAACTGTACATCCGGCTACTATGAGTCCGCATGGGCGGGTGTGGCAGTGGGTCTTTGGGCTCTCAGCCTTTATCTTTCCGGTTATCTCCCAGCAGCATTTAATCAACACAACCTTTGAACAAGCCCACACGCCTCCACTCCTGCTTCCCACAGGGCAAATTCTCCTGGTTCTTCTCCCGCCCCACTGATGACTCCTTCCAGAACTCTCCCTACCATGCCTGGGCCCCAAATGCCCGTGTTCCCAAGGACCAGCTCTCAGTCCTCCCCCTCTCAATCATTC